TCAAAAGACTTCTTACAAAGTCTACCTCATTATTTAATGGATTTATATTGTTTTTTTTTTTAATTCCACTACCATTAACATGTGTGAAACCACAAGCATTCAGAGCGGTAACCTGATCACCACTACTGGAAGCATTACGACCTTCTCTATTCATACTAATGTTGTTTTATTTGTACTGGAGATGCAGCCATGTTTCTATGTATATATAATATCATAATAAAAACTGCTTAGTTTGGAACTAAATGGCACAATATGAGCTGTACATTCACCATCATCATCTCTCACCCCTCTCATCTCGGCTCGATCTTCAGCACTTCTTTTTTAGTTATTAGCTGTCCTTTGTTATTATTTATTTATTTTGTATAATATACATAATTAAATTATATACATACAAAGTCAATATAAGTAGCAACCCTGTATATTGCGTGCACGTGCGAGCAACTTCCCGGTAGCATAGCGATGGCGACACGCTGAGTGCTCCTGCGCACTCACGATATGTCTTGTTTAGAGCAAATGTGAGGGATGCTTACGTAGGTCGAGGGCAATTCCTATTATACACTAGAAATATATTTCTCCTTTTATAAACTACTAGTTTTTGTATCGGTAGTAACTACATGGTAAATAAAATAAAACATATTTCAGCGAGGGTTCTAGTTCTTTAGCTTCCTAATTAATGTCTTGTTTAGTGCAAATGTGAGAAATCCATACATGTGTCGAGGCGATTACTATTAGATATTACTACTATATATTTTATTTTTATTTTCTAACTTCTAGTTTGTTACTACTTTTCCAATTGTAAAAAGTGGAAGTTATCTTCATCGTATAAATACAGAAGCCGATTTGTCCAAGTTAGAGACGATACAATGACTATATCTGGGTTTTAAAAAATACTTAGTTAATTCAGTGTTATATAAGCTTATTGTTTTTATGTTTTATTTAGTTATTGCATTGGTTTCAGTGCATAAAATTATTATAAGTAATTGTAAACATACTCTCACATCTATATACATATCTCCCACACAGGAACACATGATTGGACAGTCATCTAATTACTTAATGCAAAAACAATTAATACACGAATACCATATTTTATATAATCAAAAGTATAGTTTTTTTGTTACATATTACATATTTATGAGATGTATACTCCTAAAATTATTATTTTTTACTATGATCCAATATATTTACATTGTAGTAACGCAAGTTTTTAACAGTGCATACTGATAATTTGGAAGTCTCGAATGAGCTGGAACAATCCCTAAACCCTACTTGTATTAAAGTATTGAATCCTGAATGTTACTTTGATACCCTAACTTCTAATAAATATTCGCTAACGATTATAACTGTAAATATAAGAAGTCTTAACCGAAATTTGGATGCATTTTTGGTGCTTGTTACTAGGTTTAAAATTAATTTCGACGTAATTGTACTGACAGAATGTTGGTTGGATGACAAGGTTACTATACCTGATATTACAAACTATAATAAATTTCACACAAAGCGAAACATTAATCAAAATGATGGTGTAGTTACGTATGTAAGAAATATTATAGAAGTTCAAGTTTACGAACCAGATGGCATAGAAGGAAATTTTCTGATATTGAATATAGGTAATCAATACCAAATTGTGTGTACATATAGACCTCCATGCTTTCATAATCCTGGTAATTATTTGGATTCAGTCAATTGTATTTTAAGTAATCTTACAGCTCCTAATATAATTTTTACTGGTGATATTAATCTTGATATTTTGCCAGGACACGAGTCTGGATATTCCGCAGAATACCTTAATCTATTGTCTATACATGGCTTACAACAATGTATAAATCTACCAACTAGGCAAAATGCGTGTCTCGATCATTTCATGGTGAAAAGTCATGGTTCTCCTAAAACATATGTATTAGATGAATTTACTGACCATTGTCCAATAATTTTGTTCATGGAAAAGACCAATATATCCAATAATGGTAAAACTATAAACAAGACTTTCGTTAATTTTAATGCAATAAAACAAACTATTAAATTTGAGACATGGGATACTTTATATACTTTTAATGATGTTAATTTAGCAACTGAATATTTTAATGGAATACTTTTTGAATTAGTTCAATCTAACAGCACAACTAAAAAAATATCTGACAGAAATCGTCCTCTAAAACCTTGGATATCAAAGGGTGTAATTAAATCAATAAGAAAAAGGGATAAACTACATCAAAAACTAAAAAAATCATTAAACAATGCAGAATTAAGAGTAGAATATGTAAAGTATAGGAATGCGTGTAATAGAATCATAAAAACACTTAAAAAACAATACTATCAAGAGAAGTTAAAATCTGGTTTAGGTAATTCAAAAATGACATGGAATACAATTAAGGAGGTATGTAACATAAGTCAGGCTAAAGTAACATCATCTGAGTTGTTAAAAATGAAAGAAACTTCCAAGGACTCTCTTAATGTCGCAAATGATTTCTTTATCTTTTTGTTATAGGCAGTAAATTAGCTAATGATATATTAAATAAAATTGGTAAAACAGCAACTCAATTGGCTAGTGAAGCGTCAACAGCTGGTCCACTAAAAACTATGTCACTATTTCTAACTGATCCAGGAGAAGTTAAGAGAATAATAACCAGTTTAAAAACAAATGCTGCTCCTGGGTGGGATCTCGTTTCAACCAAGCTCTTAAAAATTCTGAAACACGAAGTAGCATCACCAATAGCCTTTTTATGCAACCTGAGTTTTGAAACGGGGGTCTTTCCAAATAATTTGAAACAAGCCATTGTATGTCCTATTCATAAATCAGGAGATAAATTGATACCAGCAAATTATAGACCAATCTCACTCCTTTCTACAATATCAAAAATTATAGAAAAAATTGTTAACAGACGACTGATTAATTACTTAGAAAAAAATAACTTATTGGCATCAAATCAATATGGGTTCCGGAAAAAAAGATCTACCGAAGATGCAGTGCTTAATCTTACAAACAAAATATCTTCTTATCTTGACTCAGGAAACCATAGTTTGGGTGTGTTCCTTGATTTACAAAAAGCATTTGATACAGTGGTATACCGGTCCTTCTAACTAGGTTACAAAACTTTGGAATCAGGGGCCTTTCGTTAGAATGGTTTAAAAGTTATCTTTCGAATCGGAAACAAAGGCTTCGTGTTGAAGGACATCTATGATTATGCTAATTGTTTATATATCCCAATAGTACTAGGTCCTACCCTGTTTTTAGTGTATGTAAATGATTTATGTATGATGAATTCGCGAGATATGGATGTTTTTATGTTTGCGGACGACACTGTTCTTCTATTTCATGCGCAAAATTGGATAAGTTGTAAAAACAAAGCAGAAGAAGCTCTTTGTAGGGTTACGCATTGGTTAGATAATAGTCTTCTGACACTAAATATTGAAAAATCCAAATACATCTGTTTTACTAAAACAAAAGCATCTAGACCCACCCCCGATTTCAGTATAAGAATACACACGTATCCCTGTAATCAAGATAAACATTTACCAACACATTGTAAATGCACTGAATTGGAATATGTTGATAAAATTAAGTACCTCGGAGTATTAATGGATAACAAATTAAATTGGAATCCTCACATCTCATATACTGCAAAAAAAATTAGAAAACTTATAATAATATTTAGAAATCTAAGGGAAGTGGCTAACAAGGATCTGATTCTGCAAACTTTTAAGGCGTTATGTCAATGTATTATTAATTACTGCATCTGTACGTGGGGATGTGCCTCAAAATCATATTTAATTGAACTTGAGAGAGCCCAAAGGGCGGTGATTAAAGTTATGTTTTCACTACCATATAGACATCCTACAACGCTGGTATACGAACATGCTGATGTTTTGTCAGTGCGTAAAATGTTTAAGACGATATCATCGTGTAACTGTGCCAGCAATAACATGTGAACCAAAACGCATTATTAGAAAATTTAAATATCCAATTCCATTTGTGAAAACAACATTTGCAAAGAAGCAATTTAATTATATAGCACCTCGGTTATACAATGCACTTGCTGGCAAGGATAATGATAAATTAAAGGATAAATCTAATCATGATATAAAAAAGATTATTTTGAAATGGCTAAAACCACTTGAATATGAAAACTGTGAAACACTAGTGTCCCCGTATTGGTATTAATATTTATCTCTCCTTCTTCTTCTCTTATACTCTCTCTCACACATACACAACACACACACACACGCACACACACACACAGAAACACACACACACACACACACATACACATACACTTTGCAAGTAAATAATGATAAGCTTGTGTTATTAACTTATCTAATTGTCTTTTTATAAATTGTAATTCCAAACATTGTGAATTGTAAGAGGAGGGAACTGGTACCTAAAATACAAGTTTCTACTTAGTTTAGGTACCAGGGAACAATTTAAATTGTAAATATTGGATGCAAAATAAAATTATTATTATTATTATTATTAATTAAGTAATTAAGTAGCATCGGTAGCAACTACGTAGTAAATAAAAAAAAGTATGTCTTAATTCTGTCATAGATCTCTAGTTTTCTTGTTAATGTCTAGTACAATATAATAATAGATTTATTCTATCTATTATTATATTGTCCTTGAAATCAGGATATTAGAAATGACTTGAAGTGGTGGTATTATATATTCTTCTTCATGACATCTTTGAGTATCCATGTTCACGTCGATTAATGATTAATGCTTTCTTACGGCTCTATAATACTGTAATTATCGTATTTATTACTTGTATATTGGTAAGGATTTGTAATCCAGACAATTATGATGATGATATGAATGAAATTGAAGCATCTGCTTTTATATTACAGCGCATATTTGTATTATTACATATGTATATATTAAGTATTAAATTATTTTACATAAATTATACACTATGAATAACTCCTTTATCTATATTTTGAAACAATGCAATATTTCCAAACTTTTATAATTCGTATAAAACTAACATTTGACATGTTTGTTTCAGATTTATGGTTTAACTACACTGTTGGGTAAGTGTAAAATTATTATTCACCCTTTTTTGATACTAGAAAGATTGGAACCCAAGCACTTTGATTCTAAGTCGGGGTAGTGACTACTAAATCACAATGTTCTAATAGTAATAGTAAACTAAATTATTCTCTTATAAGGAGAGACCATTGACAATAATATATCATTATGATAGATGAGAAAATGCACGAAAGCGTGAATTAAATTAGTGTATATTTGCCTAATGTATTTATAAAATGATATGCACTGAATGGGATATAAATCAAACAATGACGTAACAATAGCAAGATAGTCGGCTCTCGACTTTATTATATGGTTTTCTCTAAGAATATTATCTATGTGCTTACAGTTTAATTTAAGTATATATGAATTATAGGTAGAGTCGTCGAGGTATAAACTTTTCTAGTATTGTTAGAAAACAAAATAAAATATAGGTACTTTCTAATTACATTCAATTTACACGTAGATACGTAATAAATTTATTTGTTATGATAATTTTTTCATTGTTATACAATTAAAATATTACTTTAAGTACATTTTTAAGGGCTCAATTTATTTTTGTTACCTACCTTAGCGATCAGTCGCAAGATTCTTTAGAAGTAGTCTTCAGTACAGTTTGATTTATATGTGAAAATGTCGTCGTCTCAATTGACCTTTAATGGACCTAAGGACCTAAGGAATTTCATTAAATTCCTTCGTATCAATCTTTGAAAATAATTTACAAATCAATTCTATTAATAATTTAATAGACAAATTTGCATTAAATTGGTATAGGTTTACCTTTAAGATTTTTTACCGTCGCTACTAGACCATCTATGAGGTTTACACAGTATAGACAAGTGTTAATCAGAACATGTAATCCTCAACCAGTTGCGAGCCGAATTGCTAATTATGCGCACACGTCTACAAATTACTGAAGCAGCCGGCGCACCATCCATTTAGCAACCAACAAGCATGACGGTACATACAAAGGCTCCCTAATATGATGATCGTTTTTGGACCACTTTCTTCCAAGTAAAAAATCTACAATTCATTATTGAGTTAATAAAAAAATCGTTAAAAAACCTAACACAATTGTCACGGGTGTTAGAGATTGGCTAGCTGCGACCGTCCACTGCCGGTTATGTTACAGTTTTATTGTGAGCATGCTTCTTTTTTTGCATTGTCAAATTTACAAGATTCGCTTTCACTGGTACGTAGATATTACTGCAATTACGATGGTATATCGTACAATATATTATGACGTGTTGGTATTTATTAATTTAGTCTCAATTCTAATACATATAATAAATCACTTAAATTACATAAAAAGATAAACATGTAATGTTAAACTGAACTCTCTTTCATTTTTAAGTTAATTATACTACCTTTTACTCATCTAAATATGTACCCATAATAATTACGTTTCCTTAGCCATCAATGACGGTAATAAAAAATAGGTAATATCCTTCTATACCCTAAATACTATTATGTATATATATTAACTAAGTACTATAACGATTAGTTAAGCCACGAATTCGTGAAAACTAAGTGACGAACTCTCTTATAGAATATTATTTGAAATTACTCTGTTCCTTCTTGTTAATTCTTACTGACTTTAATATAACAAAGGAATATATTGAAACAAATTTAGTACGTAAAGCTTCCTAATTTAATTCATATAATTTTGTATTTTATGACGGATAAATATCTACGCACTCGTATAAAAACAAATGAATGATAGACGAGTGATAGCGCTCGTTCAATCTTTGCTTCGATCCAAATTATCGCTGAATCATGCCTGTCATTTTGTTACATAATGTTTAAGTATCCAATGATGGGAAGTGATATCATTGCAACTACTTAAACTATTTTGTAGGTTATTTTTTGTGTCTGCTTGGCGATGATGCGGGATTGAAAATGATTGGTTGATATTATAAATGTATTAACGATTAATATTTGTATATCGCTGTGTTTCGAGGGAAGGATGAATATCCCATATGGCATATATAATTAAATGGAACGAAGTTGTGCCAGCAAAACAACGTTGGGCCAGCTAGAAATAATATAAATATAAATCGTCTTTGTGGTCACGGCACTGGCGACGGCCATTTGCCATGGTAGCGCTGAAGACTGAAGGGGGTAGTGTATCGAACCATCACCCTTCAAACAGTAGTCCTCCTTCATGAAGGTGGGCAGCATGTTGGTGGGGACCCTTACCACAAACGCCCTGAAACTCGCAGGAGGCATAGAAACACAGAGACATAGAGACCGCAATGCACTCATTCTTTGTGTAATCATATGATATTCTCCTGAACTCCTGGTGATGCGTCAAAATTGCAATTTCGCAAGTTCAATACGACCTGAGATTATTTCGCAATACCGTAACTTGTTTTTTTTTCGACTAGTGCAATATACTTACTTAAAATATTCCAGGTTATTGACCTCTACAGAAAACCGGTATCTATTTATTGCAGTAGACATTTAGTAATAAATCATTTATTTTATTAATAAATTATTCGTATATTTTATTTATACACTTCAATGCGTGTGTCGATAAAATTTCCATCAGTACACGTTCAAATTTTTCAAATTATTCATTATTGTTTTGCACCATTTTCATGAGAACATGACACAATCTGTCACATAATCATGTTAAAAGTAATTATTATGTAGAAATTATCTATAATTTATACAGTTTTTTTTAAATAATGATTTCTTTGTAATAATTGAATCGGAAATTATTGTATTTCAATTAGCGAAACAACATGTTTCAAAACAGGGAGTAGATAGGGAGAACAGATTTTTCGAAGCGCCATTTTAGTTTTCATTTTACAAGTTTTATTTGACCTTACTCAACATTGGTAAATAAAATTTTCCACGACTATTATTTGCAAAAGTCATAACTAAGAAAGTGTACGTTGAAATCTTCGAGTTCGAGTTCTTAATAAACACTTCCACGTTTATGATAAAAGCAGTTAACGCTACATAATTTTCGTTGAATAAATAACTGTCTTAATATTGCAGATTTACGACTGTTTTTTTAACTTTCAAAGCCATTTGTCAACTAGTTCACTAGATTAAAGTCGCAATTAGCGAAGTTATTTTGCAAATTAACACACATGCTAAAGAAGTTTATTTACACTTTGTTTCAGTCTGTTACCACAATTACTGCTAAGTTTCTGATAAATATTTAATATCAGGTACATATTTCAACCGGATAATATGGTTCAGTATATTAAAGGAGTTGGTATTCGTCGAACGTCGTATCAGTAAACATATTTGAGAAATGATTCTGTAATTCTAGACTATTCTGTGACAGCAAAGCACTAGTTACTTTTCGTTATATATATAATTGAATTTGCTTTCATTTAAAATAGTAAGATAATGCCAGCGACAAATCAGCTTAGGATATTAAAGTGAGACGAGAGACGGCTAAAAATTATATGCTTTAGATATAGAAGGTCTTTCTCTTAGGCTATTAAAATAATGGCGATCTGCGTTTACTATGTACATTTATGTCCAATAACTGCGGATGCCAACGATCTTTTCGCACAGCTACGCAAGGATGATGTTGTTAGGTGTGTTTATTACTGGGAACGATCGAGACTATTCATTTGTTTGAGGTCGTTCAGGAAATATAATTTGATTATATTTTTAGTGTAACTACTTGGTTATAAATATAACGGTATAGAATAAAAAGTCGAACAATATATCGAAATTTTAAAATATTATATTTGTATATATTCAATTAATTTTGAACTCTTGCGATGTCAATTAATTCTTTAATATTCCTATTAGTTTTGTATTTAGATAGTGTAAACGTGTAGTGTTATCTGCCATGTAGTGTAATAGGTATCCTAAATTATTAAGGAAACCTATATCAAATGTTTTACCATGGTCATGTCATGTTATGTCATGAAAAATGATTTTTAACATTCTCGATATTTTATTTTAACTCATTGTGTACACCTTAATGACATAAGACTGTAATCAGAATGGTCTAAAATAATCGTAATGGAATAAACTTTACTAAATTATCCACAACCTGATACTAGGTTGTAATCTAAAGTGACTTCTTATTATAAGGGTTTGTCGCATCAACAGTGATAGTAATGAGTGTTGCATGTGCATTAGAAATCACTTAGTTAACTTGATAAATGTCCCCAGGCTACATGTGTATTTGCACGTCACATGTGTGTTATAAGTATTCACTGAAGACCATGTAATAATCTATAGTTAATCAGTTCGTGTTGACGTTTCTATATTATCGTATCGTATCTTTATAGAAAATTAGATAGACAGTGCAAGTTTGAACTAATTGGTATTTCATCTAATGAGTTTCTTATTCGAAAGGGTGTATCTCAAGCATCTATTCTTGGGCCATTTTTGTTTTTATACTGTTCTTTATGCTATCTTATCTTATCTTTTTGCTATAATAGATGTACTGTAACTTACACCAACTAAAATCCTGTAAATATAATAAATGCTAAGCTAAGCTAAATATAATATTACCATTAAAGAATATATTTTATATATAGTATTTCTAATTGCACAATTTATTAGTAAATATAGTTCTAAGCATGAAGACTTATAATGCTTAAATAATATAATCTGTAAGTTTATAAATAATATACCAGTTCGTCGGCTAAAGTCCGTAACAAAGAATTTAAACACAGAATCAGTTATGCAATGCAATCTATCCATCCAACCTCCATCTCTGTATTAGACTAAGATAAAAATCGCCCGGGTACTTATCAAATATGAACTCCTATTATGATAATCGCGCGTCAATATTAATTAGTAACAATGCAATTACATAGAATGCATGCCATAAATAACTTTTTTATTTGTTCTCTTCATAGCTTGAGGCAAATGGCATTCTCGTATTGTATTACAACACGCGTGTAATGTTGTGTGTATTATTATTTTTTATCTTAGCTGGTTGTTAACTAGATGACAGATTGTATATTTACTGCGTGTTATTCATTTATTTATCATTTAAAAGTCTAATAATAAATGT